AAACTCCGTCTCAAAAAAAAAAAAAAAAAAAAAAAGGAGCAGCTGTCTGCCATGTGTCTGACCCAACTCAAATGCCACTTTCTTTGGGGACCCTTAAGTGAAAGGGCTGCTCCCTTTCCTCACCCAGAGTTTACACAACTGGGTTGTGACCCCTCATCTATCCCAGGTCTAGGCTGGGGGCTGGAATCACAGTAATAATGACACATCCCTGCCCCACAGAGGTTAACTGAAAATAGGTAAATTATGAGATTGTAGGTGGGGGGAGGGAGGTTTGAAATTAAAGTCATCACCAACAGGGCTGGCAGCCCTGACAGAGAAGAGGTTAGCATAGCCTAGTGCAGTGGTTCTCAACCAGAGATTTTTTCCCCGAAGGACATTTGGTAATGTCTGGAGACACTTGGTTGTCCTGAGGGGTACTACTTGCTATCTAGTGGGTAGAGGCCAGGGATGCTGCTACACATCTTGCAATGCCCACAACAAAGAAATGACAGTAGTGCTGAGGTTGAGAGAGCCTGGCCTAGTGCAAGGGTTCTCAAACTTTGGGTCTTGGGATTCCTTTATGTTCTTAAAAGTTGAAGAGATTCAAAAGAGTTTTTTTCAGGAAGCCTCCGGATAATTCCACTGTACACCCCTGAGAGAATGAGAGTGAAAAAGTATTGTGAAAATAGTTTTCACTTTGTGAACCCCCAAGAGGATTTTTGGACCGGTAGACAGCCTGGAACCACACGGTTGGATAATGTGTGTGCTGGCCTGGTGTTTAAGGTCACAGCTCTGGAACCAGATTTCTCAAGTTTGAACTGTTGCTCCACCATTTACTAGCAGAGTCCAGTGCCGTTATTGTCGTCTATGGGTGATGAGGACAGTATCTGCTGCCTGAGGCTACTATTTTAGTCCAATGAAACACTTAAACTGGGCGGACTGTTAGTTATGATTGCTGTGACTCCAACAAACATACGGCCTGGGGCTGACTTGCCTTTAACACCTTGGCTAGTGAATAAATCTAGTTCCAGAAAAGGGAAACAATGGCCCGCAGGCCTAGGTGGCTCTCTGGAGGTGGAAACCTCTTTTACATTGGGTTTTGATGGTTACGAGTAGTACAATGAAAGGCATTCTCATCAGGCTAACAAAAACGCTCCTCCCAGGGTAAAGGTCCTCGCCCACCTCGGGAACCTCAGCCTTCACTTTTCATGCCACCTGTGCCCTAACTCTACACGGCGTTAGAGCCCCACAAGGCACTTTTGTCTTTCTTGGTTCCCACTGAAGATTTTACCCCACCTAGCCCTTCGATATGTCTGAGCGCGGGGCCATTTCCAATATGGCAGTAGTCCCGCGACTGTTTGGGGGGCTCTGCTTCCGTTTCCGGGACCAGAATCCGGAAGTGGCTGTTGAGGGGCGTCTTCCAGTCTCGCACAGCTGCGTTGGCTGTAGAAGAGAACGAACGGCGATGGCGACGGTCGCAGCGAATCCAGCTGCTGCGGCGGCGGCTGCGGCGGCGGCAGTGGCAGTGGCTGAAGATAGAGAGCCACAGCGTGAGGAACTGCCAGGCCTAGACAACCAGTGGCGCCAGATAGAAAACGGCGAGAGTGGACGAGAACGTCCACTGCGTGCCGGCGAAAGCTGGTGAGGCTGGGCTACGGTGGAGCCTCGGCAGGGGGGACGGTGGGGGCATTGACAACCGCTGGGAACTCGGCGGCCCAGGGCCGTGGGATAGCTGCGGCGGGGTGCGGGGGCGGGGTAGTGGCCGGCGGGACAGCGGGCTAAAGGGGCGGGGAAGTGCCTTTGAATGAATCGCAACGTCTAGAAAAGGGGCGGGGCCTGTGTGGTGCAGTCTGACGCCTGAGAACAAAATGGGGTTTGTTGTGATGAGACCTGTTTAGGCCCTGGAAGGGGCCGGGCCTGCGTAGGGAAACTAGGAATCTGGGAAGAAGGTGGGTTCTGCGCCATAAGGCGGGGGCGCGGCCTGCGCTGCGAAATACAGCTTGTGGGGGCGGGGAGTGGTCTCGGATTGCTCCGGAGCGGCTGGGAACGAGGCGAGCTTTGTGACGTCAGCAGAAGAGCGGCGCAGAGCGCAACGGTCTGAGGGAGGGAGCGGGGACCTGCGTGGGGGAGGAGCCTGGAGCCTGGGAACGAGGTTGCGCTGGTGACGTGAGCCGAGGGGCGTGGTCTGAGGCCCAGGGACGACTGTGGAGGGGAGGTGGTACTTAAGAGGTAGAAAATGGCGCCTGCGAGTAAGCAAAGTTTGTGAGGGGAGAGGTTTTTGATTCTGGTAGAATCCTTCCCGAGTCGAGAGAACGTGCAGGCGATTAGCACGGGAGAGGCCTTCCATTTTTAACTGGTTTTCTGTCTTGGTACTGTTCTGTTTTTAGAATCAGGAAAAAGCTGTTTTTTAAAAAAAATCGAGAATTTTCATAAATCGGCTTGTTTTACTTATTTCTTGCTAAAAGTGCTTCTTGAAATTTTCTGCTTCTGGGTTCATTTTGTTTCTTACCGAGTTGCATCTCGTTTTTTAACTGTGAGATACGTAAGACCTAAAAAGATTATATAAAACGTTTTCTCATCCAAGATTGACGGACACCCTATTAAAATAAACAGCCTATACTCTTCAAAAATGCCAGGGTCGGGAAAGACAAAGGCTGAAGAAATGTTCCAGATTGAAGGAATTAATGCGATTTAACGAGTAATGATAACTAAATGCAACATGTGATCCTGGATTGGATCTTGGAACAGAAAAAAATTATTTTAAAAATCAATTTTTTCTCATAAGATTATTTTAGTCTCTTACTGTAAAAGGCAATGAAAAAATCGGTGACATTTTATTAAAGTGGGTAGATTAAATGTTAGTACTACTAATTTCCTAATCGTGATCATTGTGATTATGAAAAAGAATATCCTTGTTTATAGGAAATACTGAAAAATTTAAGAGTAAGAATGCATCGTGTAAGCAGTTTATTCTCAAATGCCTGAAAAATTAGCATATGTAAATTTATGTATGGCGAGGGGAAAGGGGAAATTGGGGAGATGTTGGTCAAAGGATACATTTCAGTTAGACAAGAAGAGTAAGTTCAGATCTGTTGTACAACTACAGTTAATAAATGCATTGTATACTTGAAAATTGCTGAGAGAAGATTTTACACATTCTGCCCCCCAAAAAACTGATAAGTATGTGACATAATGGAT